CACACACACACACGAGACCCGATGCACGAAAATTCGTGCAAGAGTAGGCCTTCCTTCCCCGGCTGCCGGCACCGGCTTCCCTCTGGCACCTGGGACCCAAGCTGGCTTCCCTCAGGCCGCCTGCAGGCACCTGAGATCTGCACTGGCTTCCCTCCAGCCCTAGGTTCATCAGGAAGGATGTCCGCAAGATATCCAGTCTAATTAGCATATTACCCTTTTATTATTATAGATATAAATGGACTTACATCATTTGATATTGTTTGCACTTTGATTTTTAATTTTAATCTTTAATCTTTTTTAATTTTAATCTTTTTTTCATATATTGATTCAGAGAGAGGAAGGGAGAGGGAGAGATTGAAACATCAACGATGAGAGAGAATCATTGATAGGCTGACTCCTGCTGCTCGCCCCCTACTGGGGATCGAGCCTGCAACCGGGCATGTGGCCCTGACCCGAATCAAACCCAGGAGTCTTCAGTCCCCAGCCGAAGGTCTATCCATTGAGCCAAACCGGATAGGGCCTGTTTGCGCTTTTAGAGAGAAGGCTCTGGAGCCAGGTGTTGGGGTTCAAAGCAGCTGTGAACCTTTGGGCAAGTGACAACCCCTCTGTGCCCCTGTCCCAGCGTACTCACCTACACCATCGGGGAAGATAAAGGGCAGAGGTAATTACTAAACGAGTTAACACAGGAAAGCTTTTAGAATACATAATTCCTAGCACATAACAGCTACTGTTTAACTGCTGGGTACTATTATCCATAACCTCCCCCCAAAAAATAACTGTATCTTTATTTCTATATTCCCTACAATGCCTGGCAGCGTCAAAAATAGTCCTGAACCAAAGTACGTGTTCACTGATGGAATTAAAGATAAGAAACCTAACCTTCGTAAGTTAATGGGTAAAAATGTGTTGGTATAAGGGAGTTAATTTTCTAAACCTTTGAAAGGAAACTTTCAAAAGCTCAAGTTACTAAGATTAGACATCAGCCTTCAAATTTACTTCCTCTAAATGACTTCCCTTCTTTTCTGGATTGGCCTTAGATCAGTCTTCAAGCAGCAAATTATTTCTTTTCAAACAAGATTTACAAGTAACAAACCACTGTCTATAAGCTCCTTTGTCCCTACATTCATGTATGTACAAAAAGGGGGGAGGGGACTGAAGGGCTACCTTATCACCTCAGACATGGCAAAAGCCTCAAGAAAACACTAGTCCTCCTGTAATATTCGAGAGAACAGCAATTGTCAACCACCACAGAGATTCATTATGGGGATCAAAAATAACTTGTTACCAACAGCTCAAGTACGGAAGACTGCAAATAATTTATTTTTCCATAAATGAGAAGATTCAAGTTTAAGTGAATACAGTGATTTCCTAACTTCCCTCAATCTAGCTAGAACTCTTCTTTACGGTCTCTGGCGTTGCAGTAGGTGTGTCCAGGCAGCATCGCCATCATCGTTACCTGACCTGGTGCAGCATCATGCCTCCTCCTGTAGCTGGAGGGAGATGCAATCACACGCCCTCCAATCCCTCCCCAGCCACAAATTCTGGAAGGGCCATGTGACTGACACATGTTCTCTGAGCTCCATGTGGCTCTTTCCGCCTCCTCGCCACCCAAAACACTAGCACCGCCCTAACCACACACCACCTGGCCACACCTTACATTGGGCTTCAAATCTGAGTGCCATTCTGGGCAAGCCTCACGAGCATCCAGCACCTACCATGGATACTCAATAAAACCAGAAATATACAGCCCTAACTGGTTTGGCTCAGTGGATAGAGCGTTGGCCTTCAGACTCAAGGGTCCCAGGTTCGATTCCCGTCAAGGGCATGTACCTTGGTTGCAGGCACATCCCCAGTAGGGGGTGTGCAGGAGGCAGCTGATTGATGTTTCTCACTCTCTATCCCTCTCCCTTCCTCTCTATAAAAAATCAATAAAATATATATTAAAAAAAACCCAGAAATATTCATTCCACAGATAGGTCCCATACAAGACTACCCAGAGCAAATGTTCCACTAGAAAT